AAATTTGTTAATTCAATTAAATACCCCTAAATATTTTTAATGTTTTTGTTACGGCGACTCCGGCACCCTCGGCGGTGGTGGCCGGTGTCCGTATTGAGGGTGGATTGAGAGTGTTTTTGTTAACTTTTAATGTTTATATAAGGGGTGTTTTGTAAAAAAACAAACATAGGGGGTATTAAATTTGTGAATCACATCGTAATACCACCCCAATTCAACTTTTTTTTTAACTTTTTCAAAAAACTTTTCCCAAAAACACAAAATTGTGAACCAAACGGAGCCTAAGTATTTGTGTTTTATTATATTAGTCGTGTACAAGAGGGAATAGATTCTTGGTGTAATGTTTTTAATTAGATTATAATAAAGAATCATTACTTTATTAAAAGCACAAAAGCAGCAGCCTTGCTCATGCTTATAATGCCCACTTATTCAAGTATCTAATTTTTGGGTACATAAAGTAAAAGCATAACACAACATCTTTAATTATTTGCAAATCTTGAGAATCCATGGCTTTTCTGCTCTCAAATAAACAATATTTTACTACCAAACATTAACTTGAGATGATGTCTCTCTCACACAACACTAATCAATCACCCATTATGTTTAGATCTTGAAGATATTTGTGGTGAAAGCATGTTGAAGATGAGGTGTTACCTAATCAACACCATAGTTTTTATATAATAAAATCCAGTAACTTTATAATAAAAAACAAATAGATTATGATAGAATTTTTTTTTTTTTTTCACTATGAATCAACGGTTTTAAGTGGTCAGATTAGTTCATCAGTGAAACAAATAGAAAAAATAAATTAAAACACTCATATTTGACTTTTTCTATATATCTAATAACATGAATCCTTACTTTGTAATGGTGACAATCGAAGAGAAATTAATGAATCAAGTAAAAGGGATTTTATATAGAGGAGAACAAAAATTCAAATGATAGTGATAGAGAGAATTTTTGCCGTGAATCGGTTTGGTAATAACGAAATATTAACTTAGGTGAAAAAAATAGTATTTTGAAAATTTTGTGCGGGGAAAATGTCATTAAGCCAAAACTTGGGTGGGGGAAAAGTCGTTCAGATGTTTACTTTTCGTATGCTAAAAAAAAAAAAAAAAAAAAAAAAAAATCTCTCTTATTTTAATTTTTACACTTGCCCAATTCCTTTAATTAGCATAGCAATTAAAATCTCAATTCTACATAAACAGCATTGGTGATTGCCCATTGTACATTTCTATTTTAACATAAATAAAAAAATAATGAGATAATAAACAAGAGAAATAGATAATCATTCTAATACCATTCAATTTCCTTGTACAAACACTCAAAAATTAACTTTATATTACATGAACGAGTCAAATTAAAAGATCCTCTCTCTCACTCCCCATTACCTAATAATCTCCATCTCTCTCACTCCCATCAAAATTTTGCTTCTGGGTTTAATTACTGAGAAAGTCGGGCACTTTTGCATCTGTTATTGAGGGAGAAGATAGAAGCAAAAGAGTGAGCCAACCCCAACACAATCCCCAGCTTAACTGACCTCTCTTTGGAATCAAACGCCCTGAAGAAAATCTGGGAGAAGAATAAAAAAACACCGTCATTGTTCATCTAGTATTCCTCGCACTTGCCATCTTAGAATCTGTTGGAGAAATTACAGCAACGTTGGAAACAAAGAAAAGAGTGAGTGAGAGAGAGAGGTATTTGATTAGTCAGTGCTTGGTTGAGTGGCACTTGGCGGTTTATATAAAGATTGCATCCTCTGTCATACAGGAAACAAGGGCGATTGAGTCACTCACAATTCACAGGTGTTAAAGTGACGAAGTGAAGAAGAAGATAGGATGATGGAGATGCTCTACTGTTTTTGATAATGGTGATAAAATTATATTGCAAGTAGCATATTGTTCACATGGGAGAATCTTTTTCGACTTTTGAGTAAGTGGAGGCTTAGCCAATAAGTCTTGGTCATGAACAGGTGACGAAAGTTTGCAAGACTTGCTGACTCAATTGCTTGAAAGAGAACATAGAATTCACTGAATCCGGACTTTATATTTGCGTAAGGTTAAGAGAGACTGGAGACATGGTGGTTTTGGGTCATATCATTTCACATTCAACATAAAAAAAGACCCACTTAATTGAAATATGATGTTCAATTTGACGAAGTTTTAAGATTCAAGCAATTGGGATAAATCCAGATACTCTAGTGACGGCGAGATCGTCCCCACCAGCTAAAGTATATGGTTCATTTATCTGAATTTTCATATTCAACCATGGAAGTTGCGCAATCAAGGATTTAGTCTTTTTTTTTTTTTAATGGGGTGCCAGACTAGTTTTCACACCTCAACTAATTCTTTGGGATCCTGAAACAGATCGAGTAAAAGTTTTAGTGATTCCCTATTCGCATCCGAGGAAGAATTGAACTCAAAAATCTCTTAAGTAATGCATTCAAAAGTCCCTATCAAACCACTCAATCACCCAGAGTTAGTTAGTCAATGATTTAGTCCCTTGGATGGTTAAACACAATCTTTTTACTGGGAGTAATACAACTTTTTTATACAAATTTTCTATATAACATATATAGCACAAAATATGGTTGTATGGTTTTAAATTAAAATTAACTTTCACTCAATCATCTTTTGTCACATAAGTTTACGAGAATGTGTATGTGTAGTATTATTATTAATGTAAAATCTTCAATCCCATCATGATTAAGATCAATCTTTTTCTTCATTTCTTAAGTTAAAAGGAACCCACCGCTAAGGCAATAACTTTGTGGATGATAGGCTAGTGCTGGATAGCAAGTATATGAGTTCGTTAGCGATGTGGAGTGAGGCCCATGTTAAAAAGCCAATACTTAAAACAAACACCCATGAGCTATGAACTATGTAAAGTTACTTAAAGTTTGACAATTTATTCGATGGGTATACTAAACAAATCTCACAAACTTTCTTTTATAAACTTGATGTAGCACTGAGTTAAATTATCACATCAATTCACGGCTTTGACAAAACAGAATGACAATTTCTAGGGATGAACGGTCGGTCATCGTTAGAAACGATCATCTATAAGGAAGAAATGATCGTTCCACAAGAAAAAATACGACTTTGACTAAACATGAACGACTGTTCTAGATGAATGGTTTTCATCATATAAAGAACGACCATCCATGAGGAAGAAATGGTTGTTCCATAGGAAGAATGACTTCCCTATAAAATGGGCGTTCCTTCAAGTGGAATGACCATTCCATAGGACGAAATGGTCGTTCCTGGAGATTGAAGACCTTTCCATAATGAATGGTCGTTCCTCATCCAAGGAATGAATGTTTCATCTAAGGAACGACCATCTCATTATAACGGTCGTTTCTATGGAGGAACAACAATTTATTAGTTCCAGTTGAAATCATTCTGCGACAGTTTCGATGGGGGCTGCCAACTCAGGTGCCACGTGCAGTTTATGAGAGAAAGTTGTGAAAATACATTTGTTAGGTTATCTTTATTTTTATTGGATTGTCTGATGGAAAATATTTGGATGTTTCTATACCTTAAAATAGGCATGGCAATTGGGGGGGGGGGGGGGGGGGGGGGGGGGGGGGGGCGCGTGGAGGGGATCTCATTACGTACTCATCCCGCCCTCAAAATCACTCCCCACCCCCGCCCCATCCCCTTTACAGGGAGACAAGAATTCCCCTTCCCCGCCTCCAAGGAGAATGTGGAGGGTCGTCCCCGCCCGTTAATTTATTAAACATAAATTAATTGAACATACCAACACAATAGTAATCTTGTCCACATGACAAATACTAAATTAATCGTTTAAACATAATTAATTATACATAAATATGGGTAAGGGGTTTTCTTGTTCAATTGTTTAGGGTGATGGAAATGGGAAAATATGAGTTTATAAGTAGGATAATTGTATAATTAGGTGAAACATAGGAGTATTAGTGAAAAAAAAAATATATATTATATATATATATTAATTTATAATTATATACAGGGCGGGTGGGGGGAATGGCATCACCTACCCCCGCCCATCCCCGAGGACTGGGATTAAAACACCCGCACCGCCGCCCTATCCCCAAAAAAACCAAGGCTTCCGCCCCATATGGGACGGGTCCCCGAAATCCCGGGGACCATTGCCATGCCTAAAAAATCAATTAAAAAAATATATTTAAATAAATTTTAATTAATCCAGATTAACCTTTTCCAATCTCTTTTAACTTCTCCACTTTCCTAATTTTTTGTAAGTTTCTACTTTCAACTTTTGTTCTTTCTTAAAAACTTATGTTTAGAAACGATATGGAAAGCCCATAAAACCAAGATTAGAAAGATATTTATTGACATGATTTTGAAACAATACCATACACAAAATTTTATATTCTACGAAATCAAATCATTTATAATAAATGAAAAGAAAAAAAAAAAAAAAAAAAAATCAAGTGATTTACTTCAACCTAAAAGTTATACACAGAATATGAAAGTAAAGGTAAACAAATTTGAAATTTTTCTTTAAGATAAATCAAAATTAAAAAGTCTATAGAATTGATTTAGTGCATAAATTCGGAAAATAAAAAAATTAATTAAATTTAAATAAATAGATTATGACATTAAAAATTGCAAGATATTAAAATTATAAAAACTAAAAATAAATAATAATTGAATTCAATAAATAGATTATGATCTTATAATTGCAAGATATTTAAAACTTTAAAAACTAGAAAAAACTTTTTAAAAAATCATAATATTGAGTTCGTTTTGGTATTTGCATATACAATTATTTTAAAAAATTTTTAAATTGATAATGAGGCTTAAAAAGTTTTTTAGTGGCGCTTGAATAACAACACTCTTGAGTTTATTCTCCTCAATGTAATGTTGTTTAAGTTTTTGTTATCAAAATAATATTTTTAAAAATAATGAATTTATACAAATAATTAAATCACTTCTGCCCTGAGCTCCTCCTCTCCAGTAGTTTCACTTTGCATCTTACTTCTCTCATCTCCCTCATTGCAGGTTCAATAGGTGATAGCTTCTAAATTGTACTGAAATCCTAAAGCTGTTGAGATTTTCACACTCTTAACATGGCATTGGCCAGAATTGCTAGGAGTGGATTCAGAAGGTCAGGAGGTGCCATAGGCGGTTACTCACTTCAGAATAATACATTCCGTGAGGAAGTACCCGCATTCAAATATTCCTTACCTTCCCTTGAAAATGTCTCACCACATGGCAACCTATCATACTTATTTAACATTAGGAAGGCAAGTTCCTTGGGTAATTCGAGCAGGGGAATCAGGACAACCCCACATTTTCAATTTCAAAATGCAGAGAGAATTGCGGAGGAGTCTGAATCAGAATATGAGGAAACAAGGTATGCAGGGCTAGAAGCAACAAAGCCAGGTGAAAAGCCAAGGGTGGTTGTCATTGGTACAGGTTGGGGTGCATGCCGGTTCCTTAAAGGACTGGATACCAAAATTTATGATGTTGTTTGCATATCTCCAAGGAATCACATGGTCTTCACACCTTTGCTTGCTTCAACTTGTGTTGGAACCCTGGAATTTCGCTCTGTAGCTGAGCCTGTTAGTCGGATACAGACTTCGTTAGCAACAGAACCCAATTCATACTTTTATCTGGCTTCCTGCACTGGCATTGACACTGACAAACATGAAGTGAGTGACTTCTTCAACCACAATTATGTGTTAGCTTAATTATTATTTACATCCAGTTTGATGGATATAAATGCAGTATCATTAATATGGCTAACTGTAAACTGAGATGTCACTAATTGATGTCATTGGCAGATATTATGTGCATGTCAAATGAGGTGGTTCAAACTGCCATGGAAGCATCAATATAGCCAACTGTCCCCTTTTATGATATCTAATAAAAACATGATTATGAGAATGAATTGATTTGTGAAAGTATCTATGCTGTTTGTCAAGTCTCTAGTTGACATGGATGTCTAATCGCTGTTGTTTTACATTCTGACTCGATCATATATTTTTTATAGGTTTACTGTGAGACTCTCAGTAATGGAGCATTGCCTAATGAGCCCCACTACTTCAAAGTTGCATATGACAAACTTGTAATTGCTGCTGGAGCTGAACCTGTAACTTTCGGCATCAAGGGGGTGAAGGAAAATGCATTTTTCCTTCGTGAAGTAAATCATGCCCAAGAAATAAGGAAGAAGCTTCTCTTGAACCTCATGCTTTCAGAAAATCCAGGTGAGCTGGTTTCTCCATCTTGAGATCTAATTTTTAATCCTAGAAGGTTTTGTGAACTTGTTCTCTTTGATAGCCTTGGATACAAAGTGATGCTGTTCTTTTGTGTTGTGCCATTACTGAAGTAATAACTTTCTTGTATGACTGATTTTGTTATCTTGAAATTCAATATATTATCACAGGCATATCAAAGGAAGAGAAGAACCGCCTTTTACACTGTGTTGTCATTGGTGGTGGCCCTACAGGGGTGGAGTTTAGCGGTGAATTGAGTGATTTCATCATGAAAGACGTCCGAGAACAGTATGCTCACGTTAAAGATGATATTAAAGTTACCCTCATTGAGGTACATAGAACTCTACTTAATTTTTGGCTGACCAAGTATGAAGAAATGAATCATCATGTCATTACCTATGAAGTTAAACCAATGCTTTTATTCAACAGGCAAATGAAATTTTATCATCCTTTGATATCGGGCTGCGGCATTATGCAATAAATCACTTGAATAAGGTAACTTGAACTGCTTTCTGTATCCTGGAGAATGTTTCAGACTTCAGTATAATTCTTTGATCCATCTCTGACATGGAATTTTGTACCAGTCCGGTGTTCGCCTCATGCAAGGTGTTGTAAAAGAGGTGCATCGCAAAAAGATAGTTCTCAATGATGGGACTGATGTTCCGTACGGCCTCCTGGTCTGGTCTACAGGTGTTGGTCCCTCTCAGTTTGTAAAATCACTAAATCTTCCCAAGTCACCTGGTGGAAGGTATAAGAAGTAGCATTGTCTTCCTAAGTTCCATCTTTTCATTTTGTTTCTCCGTATCTTAATTTAGATTCCATAGTCTAATCTTATTGACTGATACAGGATTGGTATCGATGAATGGTTGAGGGTGCCGTCCGTGGAAGATGTATTTGCAGTTGGAGATTGTGCTGGTTTTCTTGAACAGACAGGGAGGCCAGTGCTTCCTGCTCTAGCACAGGTCAGATCCCCTCTGCTCTAACAAATTATTTCCTCCTATGATACATTCTGATTGGCTCTCTGGTATCGAATGATACACCATAGAAATCACAATTTGTGGAAATCCTCATTTTTCCTTAAAACTGAGAGGACTTCTGTTAATGGCAAATTTTATGTGATTGAGTTTAACAGAGCCAATGATTGGTAAAACTCTAGAATATGAATAAACTATGAAAGTGTTCAATAATGAGTGATCTTGTTAAGGCAGTGCTTTCCTGCAATTCAGTAATTCAATAGAGGAATAATTTGTTTCGTCATATAATCAAAAACATAGTAAAATTTAATGAGAGAACACTATCAATAACAGATGAATGAATTCCTTCTACTATACATTTCAGAGAATGATGCAAAAATCTCTGTATAATTTTGAAACAGGTTGCTGAAAGGCAAGGGAAATATTTGGTGGATTTGTTTAACAAAAAGATTGGAAAGCAAAATGGAGGCAAGGCATTAAGTGCAGAAAGCATTTCCCTGGGAGACCCTTTTGTGTACAAGCACCTAGGAAGCATGGCATCGGTTGGCCGCTTCAAGGCTTTGGTGGATCTACGCCAATCAAAGGTAAAGTGTTTTAAGCTTTAGATATTGAATCCTCAATTTAATACTTAATGGTTCCAAGTGATGAAAATCTGGGTGATTTTGCAGGATGCAAAGGGCATATCACACGCAGGATTTGTAAGCTGGTTGATTTGGCGCTCTGCATATCTGACACGGGTTGTCAGTTGGAGGAACAGGTTTTATGTTGCAGTTAACTGGGCAACTACTTTAGTGTTCGGCAGAGATAACTCTAGGATTGGATAAGTTGAAACGCAGATGCCGTTTTGAGAAATTGCTTTCATTTGAGCAAGTTCGTCGGCAGATCTTCATAGCTTTATTTTTTTATAGGATAATTATATACTTTTTAGTGGATCTTGGAAATTAAATTCTGTGTAAGGAAGGATCTGGGGGGAGTTTAAAATAAAGACTTCTTTCTTCATATTCCAAAAACAATGCAAGAAACAAGCCAATTAGAGCTAAAGCAAAACAAAAATTCTATTTGTCTGCAATAAACCAGTACAAACTTTGTACAAACTCAAAACAAAATATCAAGTTGATTCTCATAATCGGCGACTGGTGTGGGAGAAGATTGAAGCGACGGAGTGAGCCAACACAACCAGTATTGCCACCTTAACTTGGCCCCTCTTGGGAATCGGACGGCCACTAGATAACGTCTGAGAGAAATTTCCACCGTTGATCATAGCCCTTCTTGAGCCTGCCATCTCTTCTTTGTAACGCTTAAGCCTTTTTTAAGATCCGAAGAGAAAACGAAGAGAGAGAGGGATGTTTTCTGGTGTTGTTATAGAGAGAGAGTTGCTGGAGGGTTGTGAATTGCCAGCACTCTGGTTTGGTTTATATAGAGGGAGTGATGGGTAAAATGGTAACTGTATTACTAATTTTGTAGACTGTATGTTTGACTGGAGTTGACGATCTTGACCTTTGCTTTCCCAATGTTAGTTGTGTTCATATCTTCTAATAATTTTGAAGTTGTTGACCTTAAAGTTATGGTAGAAGGGTGTAAAATAATATATACTTTATTTTAATATAATATTTTATCAAAATTTGATATATTATTAAATCAATATAATCTTCGTACTCTAATTCAGTTCAAAACCAGTGAACTAAAACAATGGGGCATATAGAAAGTTGTATAATTCAAGGACAAATTTGTCATTTGAGGTTTTATAATAAAATAAGGGAGTTGTTTAGTGGCGTAAAAAAACACGTTGCAATTAATTATTTGATTCACATTAAAAAAAGGAATAATAATAATTACGTTGTTTTGTCCGTAAATTAGCTGGAACCAATTTGGTATAAACAATGTTTAGTTCCAAGTGTCACCTCGTGGTGCGTTTTTAAAACCATACTTTAATCTTTACTGTCCCAAAAGCTTACCACGTGGATGATTCTTTCTTTCGATATATATCTTCTACTGGGCAATACTCATGAAAAAGGGCTAATCAAATCAAAGGGTTTATACCAAACTTACATAATAATCAAGTTTTGATTATTTATAAAGTACAGGTTTCTATCTACTTATATAAATGTGATATTGTGAGAAAAATCTGTTCCCATATCTTCAGATTTTAACATTTTAGATATTTCAGATCTTAACGTTTTAAATATGCTTGTAAACCGAGTAAAAAAAGTAAAATAAAGTTTTATAAATTTTTAAGTTCGAGTCTCCATAGACTTTAATAGGAGTGGTCACTAAAGATTTTATCTGATTGTCAATTTCAGGATTTTTGAAGATTAATTGATATACACGTAAGGTAATCTGAACACTTTTAATGACAAAAAAAAAAAGATGAAGTATAATAAAAACAAAAATAGCAGCATAATTGGGATGTGATTACTACGTTGATTTACTGAATAAAACCAAAATATTATGTTGAATAAGGAATATCAAATTCAAATCCTTGAAAGCGTACGTTTGACTGACAAAATTAAAAGATGAAGTTATATTGTATTATATGTTGGTGGCTGCTGTTATTGCATGATTAAATTAATTCAATGAATATCAAAGTAAAAATGGATTGATTCAACGTACTTCCTGAGTTCCGTGAATGAACGCATTCTATATAGTTTATGTTTTTATTAAATTAGATCGTGTCAAAGAGGGAATTGATTCTTGATGTAGTGTTTAATATAGCCACCACTACTTCAACCTTTCATATTATTAAAAGCAGCAGCCTGGTCCCTTTCCTCATGCATTCACACTAGTTCCTATTTTTTTGCCCACTTACTTGAGTATCCGATTTTAAATATTGTTAGATTTTTATTTTTGTCCCTTTTTTCGGGTACATGGAACAACATCTTTAATTTTTAACTAATTATTTGCAAATCTTCAGAATCCATGGGTTTGTTCTAATTAATAAACTTACTGAATATTTTAATTCCAATATAACTTTGAATTGTCTCTTTCACACAACACCTAATCACTACATTCACGCTAGTTTTTAGATCTTTTGAAAAAGATTAATTACGTTTAAACCATTTCACAAACATCTGTGAAAGATAAAGTGGATTTGTCTAAAGCATATTGTCTAACTTTTCTCGTGCACTTACTGTCTTACCGGCGAGAAAATTACTTATAAGGTATAACCCATTTTCATGATAACACGTTTTCAAATTCACAGGCCTAAACTTCTCTCTTTTGGTCGGATGATAAACTTTTTAATTATTGGAGTTAGTTATATTCAAAAAATATTATATTCGAGTCACTGAAGAGATATCTATCACATTTGTGCAATTATTTTGGTTCACTAGATTTGTATAGTGTTCCGTGACCTTAGGAATTATATAGACTCTAATGTGGGTCTAGATACCTAAGATATCTAAAAAAACCCAAAAATCACAGGCCTAAGTGAAACAAACCCCATAACTCTTCTCTTCTCTTCCCCTCTCCCTTTTTCTTCTGTTTAAACCTTGCTCCATCTCACTATTAATTCAATCAATCTTTGGCACCCTATTAATAACTATTGATGAACTCTAAATATGATACATAAAGATTATACTTTCATTAATTTTTTTTTTTTTTTAAGTGTATATATATGATTGTATATTATCTTTATATAAGTTTAAGGTGTGTTTGGTTGGGGGTAATAGGGGATTACTGAAGTAATGTCATCTTATATTACTTAATTATCACGTTTGGTTGTCAAGTAATATAAGATTCTGATAATCTTCCAAAACCAATAGTAGTTATTATTGATAATCTTATTTTTGTTACAATTTTACCCCTTATTAATAAAATTTTAGGACAATAATGCCCTAGTTTTAGAAATAATTTACAAAAATACTAATAGATTATTTTATCCTTATATACAAAGTTTTTAGGATATAAATACCCTTGGAATTTTAAAAAACTACCCAAGGGTGGTGGTCGGATTTGGCCGCCACTACCAACCGCTGGCCACCACTGTCAGCAGCGACAAAATAGCCCACGACCGGCCGAATCTAACCGGTCGAAAATAGCCAAATCTAGTCGTGAAATGGTCGTTGTCCGTTGGTAATGGTGGTAGACTGCCAGTAATGGCTTGGGGTGGGAGGGGTGTTTTTGTTAAGTTTTAAACTTTTTTTGTTGCTGGAGTGTTTAAGCCAGATCTGAAATGTAAGGGGTTAAAAGAAATTATTCAAAAAAATAATAAAAATAATATTATATTAATATTTAAAAAGGAGGGCAATTTAGTAATTTATGTAGCATACTCACTAATTTATTCCAACAAACCAAATATATTAATATAACTTACCCACTAATTTATTCCAACCAATTAAACATATTTCTCTAAACATTTCCAGTAATCTTTAAGGTAATCTATATTTTCATTAATATAACATTCTCAGTAATACAACATTCCTTGAATCATACACACCCTTAATGTAAACTAAACTATTCATATTTTCCTAAAACTAAAGACTCAGTGACGGATCCAGGAATTTCACTCGATGGGGGCAAAAAATAAACAAAAAAAAAAAAAAAAAAAAAAATTAAACCAATCATATTCATATTTTTTTTTTCATTATGATGAGCTTCAACAAAATGTTACAAAATACAAATAAATATCTTCAAAAAACACAATTTTTGTAAAAATAAAACAATTTTTCTACAATTGTCCTCGACGAGTTTTCATATTCTGAAAACATTGGATAATTATCTCATCATCAACTGTATCAAATACATCTTTCTGAATATAGGTGACCAAGCAATCATTCATCCATTGATTTCCCATTCAATTGTATAACCAACTTTTCACGAGATTCATTGCAGAAAAAGTCATTTCAACGATCACAGTCGCAACTAGTAAAACCAATGCAAGTTTCACAAGTTTATACACCAACGGATATAAAATGTCTTTTTTAAACTGAACTAAAATCTTAGCCAAATCACCAATTCCTTCTAACTTAGCAAAATTCATCACAAGAACGTCTGTCAATAACATAAGTCCTATTATGGTTCTCAAGTACCATCAACTCAAGTGCAGAAAAATTAGTTGGATAAATCTGGGCAAAACAGATCAACTTATGCTTGTCAAAAGCAGAGAATGAAATACTTGGATATAAACATGTCATACAAAGAAGCAGCTCAGTACTAACCTTAGTGAAACGAGTGTTTATCACTGTATAAAACAATTCAACTCGATAGTGATGCAAATTTTTCATGTGCTTAACTCTATGTCGTGGCTGCCTTCGAATTGCAAACATATCATCCATATTCAAAATGGCAATATCATGTTTTTGACAAAATGAAGAAATTTCACTCAACAAAGATTTTCATCCTTCATCTCTCAACAATTGTAACCGTAAGACTTTGACTAAGGCCATAGCATTTACAATGTCTTGATCTTTTCTTTGCAATGCTTGTGACAACTCATTAGTAATTGCCAATATACTTTTCAAGTTTTCATCATATACAAGCTAAATGCAAAATCAAAGGAATAGATTACATCTAATAGATTTAGGGGTGAAATCAAATGAAGTCGAGTATTTGGTAAATCGAATTCAACTTGATCTCTATAGTATCGAGTTCGAGTTCGAGTTCAAGCCTGATCGAACTTGAGAAATCAAGTTCAAACTCGAGGTCGGTACTTGAAATTGGAAATCGAGTTTGAATTCAAGTTTGTATAATCGAGCTTTTTCGAGTTTTAGTCGAGTTTTAATCGAGTTCAAGTTCGAACTCGATTTCAAGCTCATCTAACAGGGGTGGATTTACAAATTTTATAACTTTTAAATTACATATGACCCCTATTAATTTAAAAATTGTCAACTTAACCATCGAGCTTGGAAAGACTTGCGAATATATTGAGTCGAGTTTTACTCGATTAACTACTCGAACTCGACTCAACTAATGCGAAGTCGAGTTCAAGCCAACATCAAGTATAGTTTGAGTGGCTCGACTTGATTTTCACCCCTAAATAGATTACATGCTTCACCCCTTTG